TCTATCTATCTATCTATCTATCTATCTATCTATCTATCTATCTATCTGGGCCTTATAAAAGTAAAAGAGTCTTGAAATGACTTGAATCTAAGCTCAGATCATCTTTACCTCGTGTCATTGCTTGTTTAACAAAAACAAAGTCCACATTTCAGAAGCAGTGTTTGCAAAACCAGTGACAGCCTGCTAATCAAATGCCCTCGATTAATTGATCATCAGTAAGTGTGAGAAACTCTATAGAAGCACGGCTCTTGGCAGTTTGCTGGGCTCTAGCAATTGAGTATGTGTTAACAAAATGCTTAACATCAGCAATGATCTTCGAGGAGCAATTACAGCCGCCCATCAGTCTGTGGAAGGCTACAGAGCAAACAATTTGGGGCCATCATTTGACAGTGAATTAGAGGAAAACATTTAAGACATTTGCCAGTCTATCAGCAGTGGATGCAGGGGGGGTTCCTTAAACCCCAACAGGTGTTTAAGAAACACTGATTGAAGCTAATGAGCTGAGTCAGCAGCAGGACAGTGATTAGCTCAAAGAAAAGATGACACAGTGTAAAAAGTTGTTGTTCCTCAAACAGCAACCAAACCTTAACACCTATAAGGACTGGACAAGTCTTTTATCTTGAGACATGCAACCCTTTTAATAGGCATATCTACATTAGCTTACAGGACAGTGTTTCAGTGGTACGTTCTTACTGTCGTTCATGTAGCTGCATCATGCAGACACTAGATGGAGGCATGGGTGTGTTTCCATCCAGATAAAAAAAATAATTAAAAAAAAGGATGATGACTTTTCCCAACATTATGAACTGTGATTAAAGTGTACTCATGGCTAAAATGATTTGAAAGTAAAAAACAATAATAAAAAAATCATTAAAAAAATTGGTGAGTGGAAATGACTCCGAATGATCTGTGTACAGAACTGAATAGTTAACATGAATAGTTAAAATGCCAGGTTTTAGCTCATTGATCAACAGGTGTGTTTGGAACATGATTTTAAAGAGGTTTGGGGCAATGACAGCGGGCCCTGCAGATAGAGATTTATCCACTATCCCGTTGCTGAAGTGATAACAGTCTGCATAACTAACAATACAGTGCTTTATTTCAACGGCCACAGCCGGTCCCATTCATTGAAAATAAAGATTACCCCCTTACTGTAAGTAGACATGGGGATAGACTTCAGAGCATTAGCAAATGTAAATGAATAAATGATTTGCTAGTAACTGTATAGTGTACCGGGTATCAACATGGCACATGACATCATGCATCCGGTGTCCACAGTGTCTTTTTCACAAACAGGGTCTGGATAAGATGATTGAATTTCTCTTTACTTTTTCGCAGCCCAGTCTAGTTTCATGAGCACCATGAAACTAGCTATCAGACGCTCCTTGTAGAGAGGCTCCTCAACCGATACTGAGAGGCACATGCGAGACGTAGGCTTTCATGGAATGATGATGTAGGTCAGGGTTTTTTCCAAAAACAGAAAGTTGAGCTAGAGACTGCCGTGCGCAGCATGTACGTCAGTTCAAAACATTTGGATTTCTCATAGCAGTTTTCTGCCCAAACAAAACTCCTCATTCTGAATGAACTGGTGTGTGAGGGTCCTTGTGACCAGTCAAATACAGGAATAACAATTGGGTTCAGTGGGAGAATGTAACGAGCCAAAATCTAACACTTTGAAATTTACATCCATCTGATCAAGTGGTTTGCTTTACCAATTTTTTCTCACAAAATACTCCACAGCAGTGAAATATCACGCATTTATAGAAGAGCAGGCATTCATACAGCCAGCAGTACTGACAAATGTATCCACTTAGAGTCTAAACGGCAGACTATCCCTGAGGGTTTAAAGTGATCTTTACACACCGACACAAAACCAGAGCAACGTTACAAGCTGCCTCTTGTGCCAACAAAACCGTGCCAGATGGCATCTCTGCCAAGATTTGAAAAAGTGCCTGATTTCAAGAAAAGCATCCTGGGCCTATTCGGCTCCTTTGATGGAACTGGTACATCTCGCAAATCAAATTCCAGATGTTCTGATATCCCTCTCCAGTACAAGGAGTGCTGCCATGGTGTAACGTGAGATGTTGGTCTATTGGTAAGTGTTGACGGCACATTGGGCTCAGTTTATTCCAAATAATTGTCCTCTGGGATGCCATTGCCTTATATATGCTCAGACAATAGTGCTCTCCTTTTTTATGCTGCAGTCTGCACGTGTGCTCATCCATATAACCTTACAGAACTGAGTGAAATAACCTTTTCCTGTGTCCTGGTGCAATGAGCACTCTCCCAGGATTGTGCTTAATGACCCCTAGTTTTGTTTGTACGTTAGACCCTACCAGGGGACACAAATGCCCTCAGATTCACAAAGGCCCTCCTGAATTTCAGATTCAGGGGGGCATTGGAGACGTCCTGAATTGAACGTGTTGGAACTGGTCAAACTGGACAGGTTGAGAATTATCAGTACATCTTTGGGCTCCATTAAAAACAGAAAGCTCAGCAGAAATTGAACCTCTGAGCAGCCTCTGACTATGTGTTCCTTCTCATGGCGCACGTGAATACCTGTTTTCATGCATCATCATCATCACCATGACAGGATGGGACAGCAGAGGGTGACCTATGGTCTCTTAATCAGCACACTTGACAAAGCAGTTCGGCCGGACTGTCCCTTTGCTGGTGTCACAGAGACAGAAGGTTAGAAAACACCGGCCTCCCTGACATTCAGTTAAGGCCATGAATTCAAGGTTATAACATTTCATAAGCAGAGTTTTGGGAATATCAGAAGTACAGGCAGGTGAAAAGTATTTAGTAAAGGGAAGCACCGTAGAGTAAAAGGCATCTGCAATAGTTAGTGGTCGCACATTCCAGCGGATTCAAGACTAAAGACACAAAAAAAGTGTAAAAGTGACTCAGAAAGTTTGTAAACAGTTGTCATCACATTTCCAGTTTTATACTTTAAATGTAACGAGGAGATAACATGGCTCAGTTTTGCAACAGCTGTCTGAGAAAAGACGTCTGCATGAACGGGTGGTGGTGCGTTGAGGGGCAAAGGGGAAGAGAACAAAAGGAGAGACTGCAGTTACATTACAGGCTATCCGGGTTTACTGTACCATATAATTGTGGAAGTAAGAGGAGGAGGGGTGCTGGGATGGCAGGAGGGAGAGGATGATGGGGGAAACTACCCGCTTTTACACTTAATTTGCTATTTACAAGGGCGTCGCAGATGTGTACAGTCCGGTCTCTCTGCCTCTGGGCGTTATAAATAGTAAAGGTTAATTAGTTAGCAGAGAAATTGGATCAGGGGCGGGCTGTTAGAATTTGATCCACAGACAGGTAACTCAAGCAATCCCTATTGTCACAGCAATCAGACCTATATAAATCCACCTTGACGGACAGCAGTCACCACATAGCCTTACCTCTCTGCAGGATCAACCGACCTGGGCTGGAACCACTTCCCACGGTGAGTTGCGATCTGAATTCGACGCGGTCCTTTTTGATGGAGAGGTGTGAGTCTGCTTCCTCTTCGCCTTCTTTTTGTTTCGCTCTACTTTTTCTTTTGCACTTTAGTTTTTTATTGCATACTTTTTTATTTGCATCCAGCGTACTTTTAAGCACCAGGAGAGCCTGGGTGTCAAACAGAGAAATACTTCTGTGCGTAAAACGTGAGCCGTTTACAGCCCGATTGAAAAGTTGTCCACAGAAGCAGCCAGGTTGGTCTGGTTTTCCGTGCAGGGGATCCGTGAAACAGTTTTAGGGACGTATGTTTAGTATGAACGTTGAATTTTTTTAGTCATAGACCACAGTCACGTGCGCAGCTATGGGCTCTTCATCACTGTCAAAGGGGTTTGAATCGCACCTGTCTAAATGTGTTAATAATTCACCATGGTTGTTGTTCCTACAGGAATAAAATGTCGCTCTCATCTATCCTTTCTGCTGATGCCATCGACAGTGCAATCAAGGACTGCCAAGGTATCGTTTTTCATCAATATCTTTATTCTTCTCTTTATACACGCGTAAGAGGCGCCACTGCAGTCAGCTGACAGCAGAGTGGTTTCAACACAGCAAAATGTTCACTTGAAGCCGAGAAAAAACAGAATTGGGCGATCATTTTTCGGTTAAGACTTTTTAAAAAAATGTATTTGATCATTACATGGACACTGAAAACAAACTAGATTATTTAGATTTGATCTTGAGCAGTTTCATCACTGACAAAGTGAAGTGCATGTGTAATATATCTGGTGGCCATAACCTAAACCTATCTCTTTCACATTTAGTTTATCAGATGATTTGCAAATGATACAGCAACTCCAGATGTGATTGGTTTACAAAGCTAGAATATGGAACTGATGAAGCCTTTTTCTCAGCATATGGAAAAAAGTTACTGACCATAGAATAAATAAACTGACTGTTTCCTTCCAGCTCCAGACTCCTTCAGTCCCAAAAAGTTTTTCCAGCTGTGTGGCCTCACCAAAAAGAGCCCTCAGGATGTGAAGAAGGTTTTTGGGATCCTGGACGACGATGCCAGTGGGTTTATTGAGGAGGAAGAGCTCAAGTGAGTTAGCAGGATAAAGAAAGAAAACATTTTGTTTGTTGTGCCCATTTATCCGAACAAAGATTCAGTGGTATTCCTGAGTGTAACATTAAATGTGTGCCCTTGCTTGTTAGTACTTTATTTAACTTTTCAAGCTTGAAAGTTTTTGAGCAACCTACCTGTAAGTCTTATTGACACAGTCATCACGGCTAAAAATATTTGGCTTCCTAATAACAAGAACACAATGTTTGTTTAAAGATATTATGGGATGCTGTTATAATTGGAACTGTACAATATCAAATGATCTTAATTTAGAAATCAACATTCTATGTTTGTTTCAATATTATAAATCTATGCATGGTTTTGTGTTGAATCTGAAACAAACGGATCCTAGTGATCCTGATGTTTTTTTTCTTCTCATTGAGGGTTACGTCTGATTTTAGTGGTCATCTGTATTATTGTTTCCACCAGGTTTTTCCTCCAGAGGTTCTGTGCTGGGGCTCGTGTCCTGACAGACAAAGAGACCAAGGCCTTCTTGAGTGCTGCAGATGATGATAGTGATGGGCGGATTGGAGCAGATGGTGAGAATATCTTTTGGCATTCAGGATCAAAGTGGTGGCTCAGTGTCTTACCGTTTATTCAGATCATTTGTCAGTGACATTAAGATGTGTCTCTTTTTTCCACAGAGTTCCAGGCCATGGTTTTGTCCTGAACAGCTGGACATAACTCCAAACACATCTGGTTCCCCCCTGCTGCATTTGTCCCACTGCATTAAGGGCTATAATGTTAGTCAGCCACTATTCACTTAGTCAGTCAAAAGTCGGTCCCTCGTTCCGGCCCACAGGCATCAACATGCTTGTCATGTTTTTAGTAATCTGTTTTTCTGTTATAGAATGACCATGCATCTGTGTTGCCCAAATAAATGTATGCTTAACTAAATCAATGAGAAAATAAAGGAATTACAAACCCAAGTTCTTTTGACTGTTTTTACTCTTTGTTTTTGTGTACATTCTCACCATGGTTGTGCAAAATTAGAACACTTGGTTGATGTTATAAATATCGAGAAAAAAGTCCAGTTTACTCTTGGGATGTGGATTTGGACAAATCCGTGGACATGCACATCCATGCAGAGAAACACAGTATTCCCCTTACAGTTCAGATGTGTCCTTAAATCTTTACTTACCCCTGTCTACTGCACCGGTAAATAAGATTGAATGTCAGGCAGTGTCAGGTATATAAGCGGTGACACAAACACGGGCTGTCTGGCTCAGTGTACATACAGTACTGATGTGTGTTTGAGTGTGTGTGGACAATTCATGGATCTGCGAGGCAGAGAGGGTGACCTTGCTGACCACCTGAGTGTCACCGCGGTTGGATCGACTGACACCTGACCTCAGCTTTGCGAATAAACCCAGCTGAACTCCGGCGTTGCTCTGCCCAGGGAAACAAACCTCAGGCACACAAAACCCAATGAATTTGCAAAAATCAAATAGGAGTTCAAATTCAGGGAGCCAGACACGCGAACACACACAATGGTGAATATGTAAATAATTGAAGCAGGTGTGCATGCGTGTGTGATGTGCTTTAAAAATGAATACTCCTGTGTCAAGTCTCCTCAATAGCATGGAAAATCGTGCTCAGAAGCAAGGGCATCTCACAACTTTGCAATATCCCCCCATCAGCACAAGACTATAAATATCACATGTTGCAATCCTCTACACTTACAGGATTCACAGGATTTAAATTAACGACCACCTCACTCTTTCCCCGCCCACTAAAACCTCCAAAACACAGATTACAAGCTTTTTTTCAGAGGTTCTTTTCCTGTGCCATTTCAATTATCTGTATATTACAGGGGGAACCTGACCATTACAGCACAGACCTGATACAAACAGACAAACAGTGCGCGGCAGACCCTGGAATTAGCATTAGGTCACGGTCACCAATGGGGAACTCAAACCTCGAGCTGCTCCATTCAGATCTTTGACTTCGACGACAGGTTCTATAGCAGTTCCTTCTACTGCGGGGCCAAAAGAGCGCACTTCCCTTCATATCGAAGCCTGAACATCAAATGAGAAATTTTTAATCACCCAATGACAATCATGAGAGTAAACAGGGATACATTTCAAGATTAGGTACTGTATATCAAAAGACAAAAGCTTGAGATTGCTAAGTATAAGTTAGAGATATGCTGAAACATGTTGAGGGAATTGAGGATCACAGCTTATTCAAAAGTAACTTTGAAGGTTGTGATTAAGGTCTTTGTTAGATTGTCCCATCAGATTCCTAAGATGTCTGAATAAATTTGTACCCAATCTAAATGTCAAAAAATGATATTCAGAAAATGTATAGTAGGTCCATAACTGTACATATTCTGCTGAACATTTTGTGTCGAACAACCCTGGCAATGAATAGACAAGAGACGAATGAGATTTTCATGCATCCATATCTGCTCCTTTCAGTGTGTGATCTCCATCTCTCCAGAGGGGATGTGGGGGTAGACCACTCTGCTGAAAGCAGGACAAGGTTGGGGAAGCCAGTAGGTAACACTAGCCAGGTGACATACAATGGAGCTCTGACCCCTGTGGGTCAGGAGCAGCGAGTGGTAAACAGGAAGGAAATGTGAGCCAACAGGTCAACACTGACTGCTGGATATGCTGGTGTGCATAGGCAGAACAAGATAATGTGACAGGCGGATTACCTGGATTCAAGGGCAGAGGCGTGAAGAGAGATAGACAGTGACCATGGTTCCTCATAAGAAGATGGAGAGGTCAGGTTTTAAACTGCGAAGTAAATGAAACAGACATTTTTTACATAGATTTATCTGAGAGGAATATAATGACAATTATAAAGATGAAAGATTGATCTGCTGTAAAATCTTACATTAAACTGAACATAGAACTAAGCAGGTGTCACACAAGGACCCATCCATTAGAGCCCTCTCCACAAACCATGATGGGATTTTAGCTACAGGGATTGTGCCAGTAACACCTTAAGAAAATGGCTATTCAGTTTGCAGACAAGTTTTCACTACATAGATATAAAAAGATTAAAATTTCCCAAATAATTGTTCCTTTGCATTAGAAATTCTTATTTGTCAAGTAGATTTATTAACAAGGCCTTTTTTTCCAAGGGTTGAACACCTTTCTATCTTTCACACTGAAGAAATTAACCTGTATATGCTACTGACACAACATTAACAATCTTACTAGTTGATTGTTATATGTGTGATCTGAATTCATCATCACATTGCCATGATTTTTGCATTGTGTTCACATTTTACACACTGCCCCCTTCTCTTTGTTGGAACTAAGGCTGGCCAGAGAGCCAAACCTGACTGGCCAGTCTGAACGTCTGTGTGATTGCAAACCCCATGCCATGCATCATGCTTGGATTAGAGCTGTGGGATGAGCACAGAGACCTAACCTGCTTGTCTGTATGGCACCTCAATAATTGATGTCCTCGCTTCATTGTCACTAAAAACTCATATCAAGAAAGACGTGTCCGGCTCACCTTACTGATTAAGTCTTTGTGAAACTTTAATGTGCACCCCATCTTCAGTCGATAAAAAAAATGACGCACTTCTGCAAACTGATGAGGCTACACAGTGAGGACATTCTGTCTCTGACCGTATTTTGTCTCGTTTTTAGCTCTTGGAAGTTTCTAAGAAGTTGCTACTTGATAGTTGGTACAGGGAGGAACATCGTGAAAGATTTAACTGCCGTGTTTGGATGACTGAATGGGCTTTGTGAGGTCTGTGCAGGAACTTTATTCATAATGCAGTGGATGACAGCCCTGCCTCTGTCCCCCAACAAGCAGTAGTCATGAACCTGCACTTATGATGTTTTTTGTGTAGCTTCCATTCATTCATTAATGATGAGCCACAAACAGATCAGTGTCTATTCCTGATTGATACAGGACTTTCGCAGAAGGCAATTTCTTGAAATCCATTTCCATCTCGGCTTGTTAAATGTGTTATGTGTTTTAATGTTGTTTAAATAAAAGTGAAATGAGAGTCATCAAGATTTAGTTTGAACTGTGTTTTATTAACTAGACTAATGCAAGTTTGCAGTTTGTACTTAAAGACACACCCAACTTAAACCTCTGAGCTGCTGTTAGTTGTGCTGACGCATCCTCAGACTGGGTAATGGCAATCGTGAAGAGGTAGACGGGTACTTTGCAGAGTTTTCCAAATGAGGAGGCACAATCAGTTGAGGTGGCAAGCGTCATCCAGGATGTTAAAGAGGCTAATTTAAGAATGTTTCAGCATGACAAACGATACACATGAGTCAACCAAAAGAAGACCATTTCGTATGGAGGAATCGACCTCAATCAGACAGGCAATATTATTCAAGTCTTTGCACTTGAAAATGGAAGGGGTCAAATGGATGTGTGAGACATTAATGTTTTCATTTTATGGATGGATGGAAAATACGTTGTGTTGTGGTGTGGTGGTTAGCACCATCGCCTCACAGCAAGAGGTTTCTGGGTTTGAATCCCCGGGGGAACCAGGACCTTTCTGTGTGGAGTCTGCATGTTCTCCCTGTGTCTGTGTGGGTTCTCTCCGGGTTCTCCGGCTTCCTCCCACCGTCCAAAAACCTGCATGTTAGGTTGATTAGACGTTCCAAATTACCCCTGTGAGTGTGTGTGGCTATTTGTCTTTGTGTATCTCTGTATGGGCCTGCGATGGACTGGCGGACTGTTCAGGGTGTATGCTGCCTCTCTCCCATTGACTACTGGAATAGGTCCTGTCCCCCCGCAAGCCCATTGGGGAAAAAGCGGTTTATGTACAGTATGTTTGTGATTTCTTTCCTGAGATGTTGCTTCACCTGTTGATAGCCTGATTCTTAATCTCCTTAGGTCTGTAAAAATACATGGAAAGTAAACTAACTTTAGCTGACAACAACATCCTGTTCCAACACGCATAGCAGTGGCAAAGGCTTCTAATGTACCTTTAGTAAGCTTCTAAACTGTGTGATATAATTCATTTATACGATTTGCAACTTTAAGCAAAGTATTACGGTAGTTGCCATCTCAGTGTTCAAGTATTGTTTGACTATGTCAGTCACCTGTAAGACTGGACTTAAGTGTGACAGTACCCATGTGCTCACATCACAACTGTGAGACTCCCACTGTTGTTACAGCTTCTCATTTGGCTCTGGCTGGCCATCAGATCCAGCTATTACCTCAGGACTCTACATTCTCTGAAGCACCAGACTTCTGCTAATGGTAAATTATTCAGGGTTAACAAGCTGTTGCAACGTTAAACTCAATTGTGCCCATTTTCATTAACTCTCTGTGGGAGCAGAGGCTGAGGGGGAAAGGATGTGGCTCAAGTGTTGAACAACACTGAGTTGATTTGTCTAAAACAGAGAGACGAAAGAAGAGCATCCGAATGCGGTAGGACATGTCAAATGATAGGCAGGCGTCACTCAAAAACAGGGCCTCTCTGCTGCTTCCTGGTAAAGGATTACATTGCCAGGTTTAAGTAAGTCCAAAGATCACACATGGTTGGATAACTCTGTCTTTAGACAGCAAACTGATTTTGATCCATTTTAGAGATTTTGGAGAAATTACATTGCAGCTTGAATTATTTGATTGGAGAATTACCCAGATGCTGTTGTTTAAACCATGAAAATGAACTTTGACTAAATTAATTAGTCAATGCACTTTGTTTAATGACTGGCTTGCATGTAAAGTATTAAACAAGGCTTTATTTTGCATAGAAATGATAAAATCATGGTTTAGGTAGTGAAATAATTCAAAAGATGGTTAATTGTGTGAAAAGTAAAATGATCTAATTATACAATACAACAAAAATTCAGATTAGCAGGAGCAATCTTTTAAGTTTGACAATTTGATGCTTTCACTCGTGTGGACAGACTTGATTAGTGTCACCAACGGAAAATGTCATTAATAAAAAAGAAAAGATAATGAAATAGGACTTGATGATTTTATGACCTGGAGTGAGACAACTGTAAAAAAAAAAAAAAAAAGCAGCATTGCTGACATAAAAACAAATACACCTGGTCCTCAGAAGATAAGTCATTCCTCCTTTTTTATTCTTTACTTATTTTCCATTCTGTATCTTACATCTTTGAGTTGAAAATTTATACTGTTGAGTATTGATAAAGCACTTGCAAAGCGCCAGGTTCTATTTTTGTTTGGTGCCAAAGATTACAGTGCTGACTATAACTGCGACTGGTTTATTCCCTGTTGGCCAGACCGGGCTGTGGAATTGTGTTTTGGGGCCCTCTAGTGTATTGGGCCTGAACAAATTAAATGTGGTGGTGTACAGTGTGCGGTGAGTTAAAAGGGAAAATGCAAAATGCAAGATTTTTTCTGTAATTTGGATTTTTTAATATTCTCAATCTGAAGTTAGTTTTTCAACACCAGCAGAAAGTCCATTCCAATTTATAAATGAGTGTACTCTTGGTGCTTGTGTTTTACCACCATATTTTTCACAAAAATGTAAATGATAAACACTGACATTCACTTTAAGCACTTCAAAACTAGTTGAAATGTGATTATTTATCCAAGCAATGTCAAATAAACAACTCCAAATTCTGAAAAAAGAAAAATTGGGGGGAAAAGGGTTGAAAGCTATCCTTTTGCTCTCCCTTTAAAGTGAACATGTGTTGTAAATGTTTAATGAATGGGTAAAAAATCCAGAAATCACTCTAAATTCCTTTTTCCTTTCCGGAAGTGACATCATCATGGCCTCCTTCCGGTGTGGACGTGAGCTGAGCTGGTAGCTGCTGCTGCTGCTACCTGTCACCGTTACGCACCCTCAGTGGAGCTCTGTGCACAAGATTTTTTATTTATTTTTCTGTGATTGCCAGTGAGATAAATGTCCTCCAGCATGCCCATGTACCAGGTAAAGCCCATCAGTGGGGGTGACATAAAAATTGATTTACCAACCTGCATGTACAAGTTACCAAATGTCCACGCGCCGCAAAGGAACAGCTGCGCCCCCGAACATGCGATGCAGGTAACTTAACTGGCTTCATTTCGAGATAGTTTGCCAGCTGGTTAGATTGTTTTGTCCCCGTTATTATCCACGTTTAGTTCCTGAGTCACGTACAGATGATAGGCGCACCGTATTAGCTAATGTACCAGCTAGCTAATTTTAGCTTGTGGGTACAATGAGTAATCTCTGTCCTGGCTGATGCAACCATTGAAACACATATCCACGGTTCGGTCCACTTATCAGTTCTTATTTCCATTATAAAGCCGAGCAACTAAAAAGGTGACCTTATCTTTAGCCGTTATTATTTTTGCAGGCTTCGCTATGAATAGTATAAACAGTCACCGCTTGCTGCTGACCTGCACGCTGGAGCATCTTAAACATTAAGAAGAACAAAGTGCGTTTATATCAGCTCCACTTCTGCGTTTGACGGTTTGCTGATGTTCATTTAGTTGCAAATCTTTGTTTTTTTCCAGTGGGAATTTGACTTGTTTCATCACAGTTAAGTGTAGCATTTGTCCAGTCATCGTTAAGGCTTCCGGTGGTCAGCTTGATGAGCAGAGTCATCTGTCTTTATTGATTGTGGGGCAGACTGTCCTGCAAGCACCACGGAATTGTTTCCTCCTGATCTTTTCAGTTGTGCTAAAAAAGCTTTGTTTTTCTTGCATTATTTGTGGAGTTGAAGGTATGATTTGGTTCAGGATTTCCTGTCCTGTTTACATGATATTTGGACTTCTCTTTATTCCCCCCAGGTATTAATTGTTCAGATTATTTTCTACACCTCAAGTCCTGACTATGATCTGCTTACACAATAGTTATAATTAAAAAAAAGATCCCTGCAGTTTTTGTTTATTTATCATAGCTACACTGGTGATCAATTTATCACCTCTTATGGGTCATTAAAACCCTCCTGCTGCTCCTTTGCTGTGCTGAAATATTTTTGTTTCCTTTCCTCTCACAACTGAAAGCTTGATTACAAATGTGTTATGTTAGTTTTTTGTCACCTTAAGCATTAGGTAGTTTTACCTAAGTTCTAAGGAAAACTTCCTCATAATTATACCCATCTGTACATATATGAATATATACATATATCTTATTATTAAATTCCCTTTTACGGTGTTCAGCATTTCCATCCTGTCACTGCAGAATGGTGAGGTGGACCCAGCAGTCAAAGCTCTTGAGGCCCGGCAGGATGAGATCATGAGAAAGCTGTATGAGCTGAAAGCCGCGGTGGAGGGCCTCGCTAAAACTGTGACCACCCCGGATGCCGACCTGGACGTGACGGTTAGCAGCAGCTTCTCATCCCAGAGCTCCGGCATCACCAACTTCAAAGGCACCACAGACCTGGATGCTCTACTGGGCAAGGTGAGGTACCGACGCCCACGTCCGCACCCTTCGTTCTCCAGATATCTTCCCATCATGCTCACCGTGCTGCGCTGTGTGTGTGGTTTGCATCGCTAGGACCTGGGAGCCCTCCGTGACATCGTGATAAATGCCAACCCGGCGCAGCCACCCCTGAGCCTGCTGGTGCTCCACGGCCTTTTGTGCCAGCGCTACCGGGTGCTCTCCACCGTCCACGTCCACTCCTCGGTTAGCAACGTGCCCCCACAGCTCGTGTCCTGCCTCGGCCCACGGCATGCAGACAGCTACGCCCGCCACATGTTCCAGCTGGGCTTCACCCTCATATGGAAAGACGGTGAGTAGATTACTACACTGGGACCTGACACAAACCGGGCAGACATAATGTCTCCCCTCAGGCTTTAAACACAGTTATGGAGTCAGCTCCTTGGGCTGTGAATTTTTATTTTCATGCTAAGGTGTATAAACTACTATAAATTGATGGGACAAGGGAACAAATCAACAGAATTATTGTGGGAATAGTCAGTATTCGGCTTAAGCAGGAGCCCCCCCAGGAGAAAAACAGATGGCCTTCCAAAAGACTTTATCGTAAAAGACCCATGATCAGGAAGCGCACTTTTCACAGACTGAAATCATCCAGTCAGAAATCGCACATCCAGATGTGTCCAGTTGCTTTAGTGTTTTGACCCTGACAGCAGACTGGCGCTGACTGGAGGCTCCTGCAGTTCCCCGTGAAGCAGATTTGCTCTTGCAGGCAACAGCCTTTGTGTATGACAGCGACAGGGAAAAAAGGTAAAGGATTAAAATAGCTTTTGCATATAAAGCCGGTGAATCAGAACGGAAATGTCAGATAATGTGTTTCCAAGCTGCCATGAGCTGTTCAATTAGGCTGATTTCCTATGAGGGTGTGGGTGGATTGCTGCTTTGTTGATCTTGTATTGTAAAACTTAATTGCCATGCTATTTACTGTGTCAGGGTAATTACGAGAAACAGCCAAAGCCTTACGTAGCCTTACAGTCACTTTCTGCGTGATTAAGAGACGAAGGGGTATCTGATCGACGGCGGTAATTATCAGGAGCGAGGCTCCCTTTAAAAATGTCAGAATCCCTCTGTGAAACAATGAAGTGTTGAAGCCATTGTGCATTTTGGATTTTAATTAGGATCAGTGATGTGTGTTAGAGCTGCCAGTCATAACCGTTCCACAAGACTTGTAGATCTGTTTTAAAAGAACAAGGAAAAAAAAAACTAAACAAAAGACAAGTCCTTAAACCAAATGCACACATCTGTCTGGTTCTTCCACAGTCCCCAAAGTGCAGATGAAATTCAGCGTCCGCAACATGTGTCCCATCGAGGGGGAGGCTAACGTGGCTCGCTTCCTCTTCAAGCTGCTGGCGCCCTACCCCAGTGACCCGGCCGCAGCCACCACGGTGGACAGCTGGCTGGACATGGCCTTCTTCCAGCTGGCAGAGGGCAGCCCCAAGGAGCGAGCGGCCGTCCTGCGAGCCCTCAACTCGGCCCTGGGCCGCGGCCCCTGGCTGTCCGGGGCCGAGTTCTCCCTGGCCGACGTGGCCTGCTACTGCTGCCTGCTGCAGAGTGGCTCCACCTCCTCCGCACCCGCCAACGTGCAACAGTGGATCAAGTCCTGTGAGAACCTGGGCCACTTCAGCCCCGCCAAGCGACTCCTGCAGTGACCGAGGCTGCTCCAGAGGCAAGGGAAGAAAGGGCATTAGAATAATAAAGTAACTGGGCCATGTCTGAACTCCCTCTGATACCCCCCCCCCCCTCTTTAACTGTAGTACGTCACTGCACTGACTCAGCAGACGCAGGGTGGCTGATGGTGACGGTAACTAAAAAGTGTCTCTGCCATGCTGCTTTTATACAACAGAGATTCTGAAGCTAGCTGTTTCAACGGAGGAGGCATGAGAGGCTTGTCCAGACATGGGCTTGGCGATTGGTTATATTAACAGTACTGACAGAGGTGGGAAGACAAACACACACTGCACACCCTCCACCCACTTTGTGCCTAACGAGCCTGTTCTAAATGTGTGTGTCAACATGTGGGGACGGGTATTACGACGTGTTTCCACCTGTAATACTTTGTACCTTTTTTGATTTTCTTAAAACATTAAAACTTCAAATTTGGATCTAAGTTTAAAGTTGTTTTTTATTTTATTTTTTTATGGGGCATTTGAGCCAGTTTAGTCAGATCTGGTGCGTATGCAGTGCACACGTGTGTCCAGCAGATGGCAAGATGAACAGAATCAAAAGCATCTCCCAGTAGATTGTCATTCTTTAACTTAGTCCAGCGGCATATTCCGTCCAGAAACGCACATCCATCTGCCATAAATTAAGTGCAAGATAGAAAAAAAAAATCAAGATAGTCGCTGCTTCATTTCCAATTGGCTGATGGATCTAAAATTCCCCTGGCTCCATGTGAGGAGAGTACATCTGAGTGATGAACGCTGAAGGCAAACTTGCAGGATGTCATTGCTCCCCATAAAAATTCACACGTGAAGTCATTTTAAAAACGAAGATGAGTATAGTCCCTGGGGTGCCATGTTTATGACAGGTTGGTCCAAACAGAGCCTGTGCGCCCTCTCACAGCCTCCCGTTGGTCCCTAAGCAGCCGTCTGACAAGGTGACAGCTCACCGCTCACATCTGGGCCCCGAGCAAGGAACGCTCTTTTTCACACCAGCACCAATCGTCCATGGAACAGCAATGAGAATCTGCTGATGCAGTAGATCCCGACACTAATGGGTTATGGTTAAGCGTGCATTACATCAGGGGAAAAAAGCAGAGACACAAACAACAACTGAGTCTTCCTCTTTTCTTTTATATACCTATACATATATATATATATATTCTTGTATATATATATATATGTGTGATAAAAAACACATAGACAGGAGATGCATTCTCACAGCTGTAGAAAAAAAAACGAGCCAAACAAAGACACGAAATAAAATCACATCAGTTTAAACTTGTGGCTACTTCATATCACAGCAACTGCACAGACAGAAAGATGCTTGAGGCAGGCCGTGTCCATGATTGTCAATCAGATATCTTCACTGGGCTGTTCTGGAGTGACGGACGCATCGTTTTCCCATCCACACAAGAACAGGAGGGATAGTAGAAAAACACACTGGGGCTAAAGTGCCTTACATGAAACGTTTCCTTTGATTGGAGCACATTACGGTTTCATTCTGCATCTGTCGAAAAAAGGCTGAGAAAGTCCACGCCGGCGCCCTCACTCCGTCACCAAGGAGCACACGTTGCTGTTATACCTCAAAAGCTGGACGCGCTCGAAGTAGTTGTCGGTCAGAAAGTTCCTCTGCGAGGTGACCAGGTTGCCCTTCTGGCTGAAGAGGCGCTGGACGGGGGCCGTGGAGGGCAGCGGGGTGTTGTATTTCAGGAAGAGGTGCTTCACTCGCGGGAAGTCCTGCAGGCACTCCAGGCTCTTCCCCGTGCCCTCCACGTACTTGCGGATCTCGTCCATCACCCCGCGTGGCTGGTTGTGGGCGTTGGCCTTCGCCGACCCGTAGCTGAAGAAGTCGTCCTCCGACTCGATGGTGGACAGGCCTCGGCTGGTGTTGGCCTCGGCCACGCTGCCCGGGTCCATCTGGGCGGCCTCGGCGGCCAGCAGGGAGCACATCTCCTCCCTCTCGGAGGCCGCCATCCACCACAGGCGGAACTGGGGGGTGGTCGCCGTGGCGATCTTGGCCTCGGTGCTGGAGAAGAGCTCCTGGAAGCGTGCGTCGATGGTCATCACCAGGCTGCCGATGACGTCGCCCAAGTAGTCGGCGGCGGCCTTCTGCTCGTTCAGCTTGTTCTTCAGGCTGAGCACGGTGGGGATGACCAGGCCCAGGTAGCATTTCTGCTCGGCCTGGAACAGCTCCAGCGCGAAGGCCAGCGGGTGGAAGACGCTGACGTACTCCTTCAGGAAGGCCGTCTCCTCGGGCTGCAGGCGGGGCACCTCCAGCCGCGCGCACAGCTCCGTCAGCTCGCGCTCGCTCAGGGACACCACCTTCTGCACCGCGCAGTACTCCACGTTCCAGCGGATGACCGCCGGCACCACCAGCGCCATCTTGCCGATCTCCTCGGCGGCGTCCATGCCCACCTGGAGGTGGTGGCACTTGCTCCAGATGGAGGAGACCTTGGTCATGGCGCTGAAGTGCAGCTGGCACATGGGCCCCTGCGACACGGCCTGCCAGAAGTCCTCGCTGACGATCTGCTCCAGGGTGTGCGAGGCGCAGCGCTGCACGGAGGGCAGGAACAGCAGCATGTCCTGCTCCGGCTCGCCCTCCAGGACGCCGCCCACGTTCTCGTAGAACCCGATGTCGTCCTCGCTCTCCGGGCCCTCCGCCGAGAACTCCCGGAAGACGCTGATGAAGGGGCTGCCGTTGTCCGTGACCGTGGTCTGAACCTTGCTCTCTATGTTGTAGGCCGCGTGGATGTCGTGGATCCGCCCGGCCACGGTGGCGTACGTGATGCGGCCCTGCAGCCGGGCGAAGCCCAGCGCCGCCGACTTCCTCTCCAGAGTCTCGGCGTCGATCCAGTGGCAGGTCATCCCGAAGAAGCTCCTGTTGTTGGCCGTCCAGATGTCCGCCGTGGTGCACACATACTCCACGCCGGTGAGCTTGGCCATCAGCTCCTCCCGCATCCGGGAAAAGCTCTGGTCCACCTTGGTGAACAGGGTCACCCTGTCCATGGTCCGTAGGCCCTCAGTCAGACCCGCGATCAGCTTCTTGAAACCGGGCTGCTCCAGCACGTAAAACGACTGGCAGTCCTCCACGATGAAGGTGAAGATGAGATCGTCAATCTTTGACTGGGTCAAGAATTTGGAGATGATCTCCGCTTTGAGCTTTTTCAGCTGGCAGTGTCTGCTCTCCTCCCCGTTGTACTCCTCTTTCTTTCTTCCTCTCTTGGCGTCAGGCCTGGCTTCACAGCCCAAGTGTGTTCTCTACAAGACAAAGTGAGAGGTTTCATGCTGGTTACAGGAGGGGGGGAGGGGGTGTGCCGTTTGCATGCTCAAACTTTTTTTTTTTTCTCAGTTTGTGAACTTTACAAAAAGTAGGGCGAAAAAACCTCGTAAAAGCCACCAGGCTGACTAAGCAGTGGCATTGTATCCTCAGCCAAGTTGCAGACGAAGAGCCTGCAGGCGCCATGACTGTAGCGAGCAGCTCCAATGTAACGTTATTAATAACCGGGCTCACTATTCATTCATTGACTCGTTTGCACATTAACACGCCGTGAAGGGGGAGTCTGACATATTACTTTGGGTGACTTACGTCTAAATGCTTCTTCAGGTTGGATGTGGAGGTTTTCGACGTGGAAAGCAGATTAACCCTCGGCAGGCACAGATTACATTGGACGATGATATTTTTTCCTTGATCTGCCTTGTACGTGAAATGGTGGCGATAACGCCAAGTATTAATGGCTGATTTGGTCTCTCGGGTTTCATGATGATCCACATCCATTTCGGACGCTTCCTCTACTACTACCGACGTGTTAAAATATGATAAAAGTATCGTAATCCGATTTAGTAATCGTGATTACACGTAAAGTAACGATGGCAGGAGAGAAATCCTCCTGAAAAAAGGGGCAGGCCTTTGTTTAGATGTTGCACAGTGAGTGGCAAATGAGTGGCCAGGTACGTCATGCGTCGACCCGTACACATGCGCACTAGGGGTCGGTAGCGCGTACAGAAAACATTACGCATGCGTTCTGTTCTCGACGGCTTCCGGGCTGTGACGTCACGTACGTTACCTTGTATATTTTACTTAGAATGATGGCAGCGCTTTGGTTTTCAGGAGAATTCCCCTTTCCTCCTGTTTCGTAGCGTTTTGGCGCCACCATAAGGTGGCAGAGGTAAAGGTATTACCACGTTTCAATCCAAAGTTTCATGAAGAATGAAAGAATTCATTCCTAATACTCAAACTAATAAAACCAAATAAACGGCCAACTTGTTGCTGTGAAAATATTTTGTACATCTCCTGCACACAGTTATTATTTTTTTCAAACTAAACACAAGCAGAAAAATAAATGGTTAAATAGTAACACTGTAAGTACACCCTAAAATCAGTACGTTAGAATTATGTGTCCATGTTAGCTGTAAAGGATGATAACCACCTTTGGGAATGAGGGCTTATTTGTCAAAGCCCATCTTTGACTCCCATTACAAGTAAAACCTGCAG